AAGCAGTTGTATAATTTCGCTATACATATACAAAAGAAAGCAGTTGTATAATTTCGCTATACATCTACAAAAGATAGTAGTTGTATAATTTGCTTTGGTATACATATACAAAAGATCAATTGTATAATCTGTGTTTATATAAAGCGAGAAAGAGAGAAAGACAAAAGAAAACTGAGCAGGGGAAGATCGTATTTGTATAATCATAAGTGTATAGGACAAAAATATATGCATTTGTATTTGTATATACAATTTTCTCTCGCTTTATACAAACACAATGTATACATTTGTGTTTATATAAAGTGAGAGAGGTGAGTGAGCGAGCAAGATCTGGGAGAGGGGAGAGAGGGGAACAAAAATATATGTATATATACAATTTTCTCTCGCTTTATACAAATACAAACACATTTTATACATTTGCGTTTTTGTATAAAGTGAGAGAGGCGAGTGAGCGAGCAAGATCTGGGAGAGTGGCGAGCGAGATATGGGAGAGGGAAGAGAGAGGAACGAAAATATATGTATATATATAATTTTCTCTCGCTTTATACAAACACAAACGCATTTTATACATTTGTGTTTGTATAAAAAGCGAGAGAGGCGAGGAAGAGAACAATAGTGGCGAGCGAGATTCACCAGGAGAGAGGTGAATTAGCAACAGTTTGCTATGGGATACAATTAAATCAAACTATATTTATAGCATTTAATTTAAACTAATAATTTGCTATTATATACAATTTTCCCTTTTAACTATTGATCGTGAATGCTGGCCCATAACGCAAGCAGAATATATAAAAAAATTCATGACCACCCATTTCCATTGTCATTAGCTGTAATTCCCTGTAACTTGGAGTCATGAGATTGGGGCAATTGGGCCACACACAACGGCTACATGATTAAATAGTTCATGTCCATGCTCATTGTCCAAAGATTCCTCTAATCGCAAACAATAGCAACAAAATCTCTACCAAAGTATTCACAACTTCTTGCCTTTAGATTGACTTAAAAAAAGTAATTTTTAAATCAAAAAATAAAAGGTCAAACTTAAATGACTTGTAAGTTAATAAAATAAAAAGAAAGGGAAGTCCTACTTTTGGTTTTAAACCTTTTTAAAGTTATTTTAAACTTATTTTAAACCTTGTCAAACACTTCAAAAAACTAAAAATGACTAAAAATAAGTTTGACTAACTTTTAAAGCAATTCAAACAGACTCTTAATTTTTTACTCTTATTTTTTTTGGATGAAAATGGGAAATCCGTAGTTGCTATCATTTGGATGTGCATAGGGTAAAACCTTCGCTCCTATGCAATATCTCGCAAACCACACAAGATAGTTACAAGCACTAGACAAGTCCAGTGCGATGAGCTCAATCCAGAAGGCAAACTCCTTGCTTTCCCTGGCAAAAAGGTTTCAAACTTGAGACTTCCAACATGTAAATTCCAAGCCCAAATCACTGGCCAGTATAGAAAGACTTAACTTTAAGTTAGACATAATAGGAGTGGGAGCATAATTTTACAAGTCAGCTACTAACTATTTTAATCTCTATGTAATAGCCACTTAGCTGATATACATATTTTATATATATATATATATATATATATAGTTATTATTAGTTTAAACAAAATTCTTCAATATTTATGGTCAACCTGTTTTGGAGTTTGAGACCATAAAAGAAAATAAAAATTATATACATTTATAACTTCATAGGCAAATTTTTCTAACTTTGATCGCATATATATGTCTGAATTTGTTACAAAAATTTATAAATTTCGACTATGTCTTAAATAGAGGTTCCAAAATCGGCTTAATTGCTCAGTTCACCTAACACTCCCCAATTCATCTTGCCTTGTCCCAAATTGACCCCAAAATAGGGAGGGTGAATTATAAGTTTATAACACTTTCATCCACTTAATTATTTTTTACTGGCCTAAATTTGATAATTTACCCATTCAATACTAGTAAATCTTTAAACTAATCCAAATTTTAGCTCCCATTTTTACAAAACCTAGAGAGAAACTACCAATAATATAACGTCCTTTGTGTCTCACGAATATTGGCTTTAGCAAAAGCATAAAACTCAATATTATTAATTTTTTTGACAAAAAAACTCAATATTATTAATTAACAAAATAAGAAGGAAAAGTATAGAGAAATTGATTGGACAAAACAAAATTAATACTAGTAGTGATTGAGATTTAATAACCATTATTTGTTCCACGCTTAGGAATTCGACAGATACCCACTACCCTGATATATAATATGATAATTAATTATTCGTTTGCAAACAACCTTGCTTATTCTAATTATGGTACCATCTTGATGTTGATTTATCACCTAAGCCGCCAAAATCATGTTTCATATGTATCACTCAACATTTCGACTTATGACTCTACAATTAACTTGTTTAATGTAATGACTCTTTAATACCATCAATATAATGATTTTGTTATCGTAGGCTACTTACCATTTATTTCTGGTTACCAATTAACGCTATAGTTACCTGCAATCACCTTTTAATGACTTGATCGCGTAAACATCTTTAATACCATAACCATATAACTCTTTATACCATACTTGAACGGTTGAAACCATTGTATACTAGAAAATTGACTAGCTGAATACAATATGGCTACAAAATATTAATACTAATTAGGTTCAAGGGTCAAATAACCTCGTGGAATTTAGCTTAAATTAATAGTATACTACACTATCTGTCATTATGTTTGACAACTAATTAAATGCTTATTATATAATTCTCTCTAGTTTTTCTTCACATCAATGTTTCTCAATTATTCATGGAAAAAATAAAATATTCCAAGAAAGCCATCAACCTCACATATTCAATTGAAATGAAAATGAAAGCCCTCTAAAAAGTCTTTATTCAAAACTTTGGAAAATAACAGGCTAATTATACTTCTCCACCTTATTGACAAGAATCTCAATGACTAATCACCTAAATCATCCTAACTTCATTATAGTTTTTCCAAGATCAAGAAACCTCTTCAAGACACAATTTTTATCTATCAAATGGCCATGATAAACACCAGAAAGTTATTTCAAATAATAACAAACCAATCTGCAGATTGTATCTATGTTTGTGATTCAACATGTCCTGCTTGTTATCCATATGTAGATTCAGATTATTACATACCTCCACCACCACCTCCGCCGTCGTCATGGCTGCAGCCTCAGTTAAGTAGCAAACATCATCAGAACATATCACCTTATGTGATAATATCTGTTGCCTTGTTTGCTAGTTTGTTCATTCTTGTCAGCTACTATTTGATCATTGTCAAGAATTGCTTCAACTGGAACAGGAGAAGTACCCCACCAACACAAGATGAAGAATTTTTCGACGAAAATCGAGCTCCTGTTATTGATCATCCCATTTGGTACATCAACACTTTGGGTCTTCAGCCATCTGTTATTAATAAGATTACTATTTTCAAGTATAAAACAGGGGATGGTATGGTTGAAGGAACAAATTGCTCTGTTTGCTTGAATGAATTTCAAGATGATGAGTCTCTTAGATTACTCCCAAATTGTAAACATGCCTTTCACATCTATTGTATAGATACATGGCTAAGATCACACACAAATTGCCCTTTGTGTCGTTCAGGCATTTTATCAAACAGTTTGAATGCACCTGCTTTGGTTCCAATCGAGCTGAATTTAGGTGCTGATTTGAGTGCCAATGAAGAAAGGGTACTGGAAAACGATGAACAGAGGGAAGTGAATAGTAACAATGAGGTAGTGATTGGCGAGAATGGGGTTAATCAAGTTGAGAGAGGTTGTGGAGATGGGGAAGTACAATCAATGAGGAGATCAGTTTCAGTGGATTCATCAATTAGTTCAAGTAGAGGGCTTGATAGTATATTTGTGTTGTCAGGAGGAGAAGCTGTTGGTGAAAATTCAAGATCAACTCAGCATAAAGAAGAAGCTGTTTTGATGAAGAGATCATTTTCTTATGGTGGTAGGTCGTTTTTCTCAAGACATAATCGTAGTCGGAGTTCAGTGCTTCCATTGTGAAACACCCTAAGTTCCTTTCAGAAAACATAGCTCCTTGGACTCTTCTTAAAAGTCATCTGGTGCATAGATCCTTCGACGATTAACAGTGAATAACGTCATTGTTAGGTTTCAAAGAGGATCCTTCCATTCTCATCTGGTTGCATTCATTGTATATTCATTCATACAGACAATTTTTTATTCGCTAGCTAATTACAGAAACAAAAGTTCTTCGTCTTTGTCCCAAGTGTGAAAATCACTCACATGGTTCTTTTCCTTGTTATATTCGAATAAATGTTGAACTTTTATTTCAATTCTTCTTCTCTCAAGATCAGCTGATCGTGTTCAGTAACCTGCAAAATGGTTCGGATAATGAAAGTTGATTAACCTTATGCTAATTTTCTAATTTATATGTTCAAAATCTACGTAGTTAGAAACTCAAAATAGTGTCTGCATCGCCTATCCTCAGATGGTGATGTTTTTTTGGTACTTCAGAGTTCAGACTGTCTGAGGGAAATATTGGATTTTGCGATAATTCTACAGAGAATGCTTTAGTTAGAAGACGAATAATTCTTCAGAGACCGGTTGAAAAACCCGAGTTTTATTGGTTTGATTTGGTTTATAAAATTAAAAATCCGACACAAATGGTTTGGTTTGATATTTGAAAAACCCGAACCAACCCGACCATGTACACCCCTAGTTACTGTCAATACAAAATCAACCTGACATTGCAAGACAGCTCTTTAGTCTAATCTTTTCCCCACCGACTAAGTGGATTGGATTGGGTAAAAGAAGTTAAATTACAACATGTTTCCAAGCATGAGTCACTGGGAGTCACTTTCATGAACATGTAGCCCATAAAACCCCTGCAATATTTGCTAATGATAGGACAAACTTATAATCTAAGACAGGAATAGGCCTCCAAAAGCCACTGATGCACATTTCATGCAAGAAGAATGCCACAACTTCTTTTACAGGGCTCAAGTGCCAGTATCTCTTCAAAGGTAAGTTTTTCAGTAGTCTTCTCTCATGCTTTCTGGTTTCCTCTTAGCATGCATTGCAAGACGAGCATCTCTCTCCCGCTCAAATTCTCGGTAATCAGCACGCTCTAAGAAACCAACCCTATCTAGATACTGATTGGAACTCTTCTTGTAAGCATCCAGCTCTTCTTCCATCCCTCTATTTTCTCCCTTGAATCCCTCCCAGTCTTTCTTTGTCTTATCAAGTACACTCAGTTTCTGCTTCTTTTTTATTTGTTCAAGGATAATGTCAACAGCAGAGGCAGGTGGTGCTGGGCCTTTGCCTTTATCAGATGCTTCTGCAGAATTGGCGTCAACGTATTTCTTTATTTCAACATCTTCACCAGCAAAATCTCGTACCTCAGTAATCTATAAAATTAGAATAGGTGTAAAGAATGCGCAAAGGGGCAACAACAAATCTGAGAAGCATATGCACATCTTGAGTGAGATATTATTAAATCTAGAAGTTCCCATGAAGTGGTTCAGATGGACAATTGATTGTAACCATTCCACAAATTTTCTCAACCTCTTCTCCTTTATCACAACCTCTTCTCCTAATAATAATAACTATCAAATGTACAGGTTAAACAGTACCAAGACCACAAAAGTGACAGCGACTACTTTCTTTCTATTTTTTTTTTTTTGGGGTGTGTGGTGTGTGTGTTGGAGAGTAGTTACTTAAGTGACAACGGTGTCAAGCATTTCACTCATACAGAAAAGAAAAAGAAGTCTATATGCAAAAATATGAACTCTCCACCAGGTTGTTATTTCAAGTATAAAGAAAGTGAATCACAATCCATTTACAGCCAAAAGAGCTCTATACACCTGCATTCTATGAGTATACAACCAATTCTTCAGCTACAAAAATGAAAAGCTAGTAGTCCACAGAAGTATCATGGAGCAAGCAAAAATAGACTTACCACTTTACCCCGGCTTGCAGAGGCAGCAGCTGTGGCAGCCTCCTTTACTGCAGAGAGAGCAGCAGCAGCCAGCTTCTTTGACTCCTCGCTAGTATCATTTTGAGTAGTTCTAAGGCACTTCTCTGGTGTGCTTCTTCCAGGCTCTAATGTCTTCTTTTGGGACAATCCCAGTACTGTCATCCAACTCTGTTGAGAATGCAACACCACAAATCTGAGTAACAACGTGGGCATCTCATACAATTTGTATAGTAGAGTAGAGGTCTTTATACTCACAGAAGATGACGATTTTGACGAACTTTTTGAGGAAGCTTTATTTGATGCTAAGGTAGGCTTGTTTATTATGGAGTACAGGGTCCTCGTAGACACTCCTTTGTTCATTTGCTCCCAAACAGCATCCACCCGAGCTTTCCTTTCTGGAAACAGAAGCATACAGGTGAAAACATTGTTCTTGTGATCCTGGTCTCTTGGAAAAACAATAATGAATATAATTGGAGGATAATGACATGAATGGAAGGAGCATTGATGTCTCCTACCAATTTCTTCGGGCTGCATCTGCATGTTAGGAAGGCATGCAGTATCTTGTTTGGGCATCGTTTGGAACCCATTGACATTCTCTAAATTATCTGAATCATGAAGAAGCAAGAAATTTTCTCCAGATGTCAGCAGTACAGAATGAAAGAGCTAGACTTAGGCCTAATCTGTGACTTCAATATCTCAAAACAAGTTTAGCATCAAGATGTTAAATGGAATACAACTAGGAGACAAACATGAATTGAAGCTCGAGAAAATTACGAAAATTCTAAAGATGAAATGTCAAAGGCCATGCCCCTGTTAGAAAATAATTGATAGAATTGATAAGAGGGAGAGGACAAGTACATTAAATAAAAGAACTCAACTTTGAACAAGCTGGGCTTCTGCAGTCAATTCAGCCATATTGCTTAACCTGTTCAATCAATTCATAAACCATAAGAACTGCATCAAATTACCTTCTAGGATAAAATTGAACAGGAGAGAGGAAGGGGAAGGAAGAATAATAGGAGAAAACACGTTTTCAACTATGAAGGAGAGAAAACATATCTTCATCGAGAAAAAAATAGAGCCAAATTCCCAGTCAGAAAAACTTATATCTCATGCAATTCGTTAAGACATAACAACAACCTAAAGTCCTAACTGCAGCAACCTTGTACTTTGTTTCATACTGTTAAATCCCTTTCAAAACTTTTTAAGGGATTCCACACCCCAAATAACTTGATATGGCAGAGATATAGAATGAGATGAAAACGAGTTAAGGGAGAAAAAAGAGAAGAACAAAGAACAACTAGATAAAAACAGAGATCGTTCCAGTAACACAAAGATCACAATCAGCCACTTCAAAATAACTATAACCTAGGTGAACATTGGTTATAATCATCAACTGCAGGTTGATTTATCATTATAAGGGACATGAATGACAATGTTGCCGCCTTGATTGAAGCTAATAATGTACTGATGTTGTACTTGACCTCGTAAAATGGGTCAATTTCACTTACTATAGATTCCGTTGGTAAAATGGAGAAAGAAGAAACAGTGGGCACATGAACTTAGAGATACCAAGTACTTGGTGTTTAAAAGGTAGGGGACATTTTATCTATCATGACTCATATGGCTTGAAAGTTAAAGTCAAGTTAACAATAATACACAAGCAAATCATGAAATTCAAGGCAATATGCCCATCACAATGAAAAAAATAAGAGCAAGAAACGAGGTTGCGCAACTCTCTTATTGGGAAAAAAATAGCAGTTTATTAGAATCATAAACTACTGGGGAGTAAGCTCCATAAGACTTCAGCCTCATGGACATCCTGGAGCATTTAAAGCCTGCTTCACACGCGGGAGCACCCTGACATGATTCCTAACTTTGCCTTTAAAACATTGCGGGTATGTACCAAAAGATCCAAGACTTCAACAGGGGCACCAAACTTAAAAATGATCCAAACACAAACCTTTCCATTGTATTCATTAAATCAGCATTCCGGATATCAAGTTTACATTATACTAATCATGCGAACATCTATTTCAACGAAGTTAATTGACTTATTTTCCAGAAGATAGCACATGAACAACCCAGCACATTACAACATCCACCCATAAATTTAAAAAACCAACATTCCAGCAGAATGTACAGCAAAAGGTTAGCGGAGAAAACATAAATTCAATTTTCTACAATAAACATTTATTTATCAACTCCAATACAAAGATCATAGCTTTATTAACATCACAAGCTTTAAAAGTCATGTCAATACATGAATAGAAAGTCAGAAACCCTAAGACTTATATCAAAACTATACAAAAAGGGATTAAAGCGAAAAAAGCTGAATTCAAACAAAATTAATGCAAATTCATTCAAGAAATCTTACGCGATAAGTCTTTGAGAGAGAAAAGGGACCCTGAAGCAGTCGTATAGTAGCAAGGAGAACGAAGGTGTAAGCTTTTAACTCGCCGAGTTATCGCCGATCTTTCTATTTATATAAAGCTCAAAAGGTCTGTCGAACCGAACCGGGATTTCCAGTGACGAAACCGGTTAATTTTGGAAATTTGGGCTGCATTGACAGTCGGCCCAATAAAATACATATCATTAGCCCAATATCTCAATTTCCTTGAATATTATCTTAGGAAGAGTCCAGCCCAATATCATTTGGGTATCTGTTATCAAGGCCCACATAATTAGGCCTGGTGGATTTAACTTGGTTTAACTTCAGATAATTTGACATATTCTTTTCAGGATTAAACTACCTTATTAAGCATACATCACTACTATATATACTAATATTATCTTTACTTTTAAACAATTACATATATTACCATTTTTAGTATTTTATACCATATATTAATATATTATTTGAAAATACTATTAGATACCCACATCCCTTAAAACTATTATTGATTAATTATTTGCTTAAATAACTCTTTCACTCCAAATCAATCACTATCTCTTAATTCTCCCCTCCCATGTTTATCACTCAATTATGTCTCCTCCTTTTTGATTCAAGAATTTCACCTTCCAATTTCATTTCAACAACAGTTAATCTACTCTCTTCTTCTCAAGATATCATCACCACAAATTCTCCTGAACCCAAATATCATTTTGTATTGTTCATTTATCATGAGTTTCAATCACAATAACTGCTACAGAGAAAACTTTCAATTCATAGTGGATCTTGATTGTTTGTCTCCGAAAGAAATGGATCTTAGTTTTGATTATGTTATGCCACAGTGCAAAGGGATCAAAGGGAATATTGTAGAGAGTTTTGTTTGCTGGTGTTCTTCTAAGACTTTTTTTGGTTACTGTGATATGGATGTGGTAGTACCAACATTACTTTGATATAGCCCTTGAAACATGTGTATCCAATAAGTAGTAATCTTAATTAAGATCCGAGTTGTATTTTTAGTAATGGGGTATCTGAACATGTATATGTATCCACTATATATTAAATTTCGGATACATAATTTTTAACAACACAATGATATTAATGATACGACAGATACTCTACAGTCGTGATTTGTTCATAGATTCATGTGTTTCAACTACATTTCATATTTAGATACACATAATTAAATGTATATGCTTATTATGTATTCGAGATACATGTTTTTGGATATAACATATGAAATTTAGATACACATAATTAGATGTATATGCTTCTTCTTTTTGTATATTCCATATTTAGATACACGTAATTAGATGTATATGTTTACTACGTATTCGAGATACATGTTTTTGGATATAACATATACAATTGATACTTGATACATCAAATTCATACTAGATACATATAAAAGATACATGAAATTAATATATATATATATATATATACACATAAAATTAATACTAGATACGTATAACAAATACATGAAATTAATGCTAGATACTTCTATGATACATATGAATGTACTTGTATGGCACTCATGTATCTAAATGTTTAGTTTGTTGGATACATCATATATTGAAAATAGATACATCAAATTAATGAATTTATTATTTTAAGAGTAATAATTTGAAATTAATCAAACTACATTACCAAGATATACATGTTTTTATCTTATATTAGTAATATTAATGAATTTACTATTTCAAAGAATAATAAAATGAAATTAATTATCTATGTATTTTGAAAATCCTCAATTACTCCTCTAATTAAGGAAATAAGTTACAACCAATTAATTTAAATAAATAAATTTTGTATCTCAATTTTAAAATTCGCCAGATACATGTATCTCATGGATTCAGATTCATGTATCCTAATCATAAAATATGGTAGAGGAAGTAATATTAGAAACTATTGGGAATCTTAATAATTAAGACCTAAATTAGTGGGATTTATGTGATTTGCCCTTCTTTTCACAATCAAATTCTACACATTTTTGTCAGAAATTTCGTATGACGATAATTACGTATCTAAAGTTTGAAGTATCAAGCCTAACTTTGATCCCCGATTTAACTCTCGATATGTTCCACTGTATTTTTTCTTCGAATAGGCATTTAGACCACAATATATATATATATATATGCAACCTATGAATTGCACTCCTTTGATCTTCTGTTTTTGCCATGTCCACTTTGTATTGTAGTGTGGTAATGTCATACCCATAACAAAGTGAATAATGCACTATTGTTTATAGGATTGGAAGAACATTTGAAATAGTAATTTGTTTTAAAAATAACTATAACAACAACATATCCAGTTTATTCCCACAAAATGAAGTCTGAGAAGGATATGTCAGAGGTGAGATAGAGAGGTTGTTTCCGATAGCCAATTGCCTCAAGACAAAAACAAACTAGAAAAAAATGTAATGAAACATAAGAAATAAAGCATAGTAACAAAGCAACACATATATATAGTAGCATAGCAATATCATATATTACTACAATCAAACTATACGGAAAAACAGATATTAATAAAATTGAATAACAAAAAACTACAAACAATGACTATGACTACTGATAAGGGTATTAAGACAATGCACTCCTATCTACTAGTATAGACATGCTCTTACCTATTAACCTTCAATCCTAATTCGCGTCCTCCACACCTTTTTATCTAAGATCCAATTATTGCTAATTAACATCACAAACTACGCAGACTAGTAGTTTGTTTTAAAAAATCAAATTATTTAATTTTTAAACAGTGTAGGTAAACATCAGACAAAAATATATGGTAGAAGTTTAAGTCAAAATGGTGGGCAATGACCAATTATTACTAATATTATAAATAAAGTGCAAAATACAGAAAGTTGGCAGGTGATGGGGCTTTGTTAACATCACAGAAGTCTCAAGAAACACAAACAGAAATCTTAAAAAGGGGAAAAACAAACAATCACGAAATATATAGATTTAAAATTGGATTAAAGAATAAGAGATCTTAATTCTGAATCTGGTAAGTTGTGCACAACATGAGACTTTGAGATGTTTCCCTTTTAAATATATAACTCAAATCAAGAAGTAATTAAAAAAATTGAGAGAATAATTAGGAACCTAACTCTTATCTCATCCAAATATATATAAATATATTTATCTTTGTCAATTAGTCAATGGACACATTTGAATGAGAATATCTCCAGTCGGTTGGGCATTTATTGATAATAAATTCCATGTCTATTGCATGAATTGATTAATATTGAGAAAGTTATGAATTAGGTATCCTTTGGCCAATAGTTTATCGATATAATTAAAGTCCGTAATTGTTTATAAGGTTGAAACAACATACTTTCTAACACAAGTACTACACTAAGGATATATATTTCAATTATACTCATATGATTGGGAATAAATTTATTCGGTCGATCAAACGCAATATAAATTTTGGTTTAATCTTGAGATATCAAACCTTATCCTTCGTGCTAAATGAACTTTTTTCTTAATTATGTATTAGTACAACTTTAAGCCACGTCATTGTTTACTCTCATGTCCCTCTTTATAATTTCTCTTTGTTTCCTTCTAATAATAAATCCCATAAACAGCAGATCTATGGAGTTTCTTTTTCATTTATCGTGTATCATAACGTAAACACACAGAAACTGGAAATGACATCTTTTGGAACTATGTAAAACTACCGACTCCATCTTATTATCATCATAATTATAAGTAACATTGACTGGTTATTGATTATTTTTTTTAAATAAAAAAAATAAAACAGATTCTCAAATTCATAATCTTAAAGGAGTAAGTCATATTCGTTCTCTTTCAATATAGGAGTATGTATTTTACTCTTATTTTTGAAAATGTCACTTTTATATTTAGTGATTTTCTTTAATCGATTATATTTCTTTTGAGTCATGGGTCTAAAGGTAGAGGTAAATCTTTGTACGTCTATCCTCTCCAAATCCTATTTGTAGGATTACATTAGTTTTTTGTTATTATTGTTGATTCTTTAATTTCAACCTAAGAACTAATAAGTCACATGACATAGTACACACATTTTTAATTTAAAACAATCTTACTTTCTTAATTTTTTGTATCCAGTTAAACTAATTCATATAAAATAAAATAAGAAGGATGAGTATTATTATCTTGAGTGAAGTTACAAAAAAAAAAAAAAAACCTTGAACTAGTAATTGCATGAACTCATGGACATTACCAGAATGTGATGACATATTTTGCATAGTTTATAGAAGTATGTGTTTGGGGGAAACACGAGGAAAGAATCTAATAGCTATCTGGTCCCTCCTACTCTTTATCTCATTGTGCAGTGTTCAATCAATTACCTATAATTTGTTTGATAGGCTGCATGCTCTTCTCCTACTGACTTCCATTTTTTCTCTTTTTTTTTGTTTTATCTTAAAATTTAATTTCCTCCACTTTATAATTTGGACCATTTTTCTATTTGTATGTGTTATCATTCTTGCACCGGGGCCATGCTAATTGGTTGGGGTTAAAGGTAAATTAATGAAGTTAAAAAAAGAAAAAGTAGAGGTGTGATTATATATTGAAGACTTGGTCTTTGTATTCTTTGAACTTGATGTTTAATTGAGACAAGAAAACAAATCTACCATGAGGTTACAAAATCCAAATTTGCTTTGATTTGCTTCTTGGAAAAACAAAAAAAACTTTGCTACTAAAGTTGCAGCTTTTTTCACATCAAATCCTCATGAAAGTCAATTTGTTACGCTAAGTTAAAAAATACTTCAATATAACATATATAGGAGAAGAAATGCAGAATATAGACAAAAAAAAATTGTTTGTGTGTGCTAGCGAGTTAGGCCCAGCGTCAACCCTGAGGGGTAGCTCAGCTGGTAAAGGCCTGGGACAAAGTCCTTCAGGTCGCCGGTTCGAGCCCCAGCAGGGCCACTGGAGGCATTACAAATCGGCCGCGTCTCCAGGGCCCCGTGGAACTAACCGTGGTGGACCCGCCTTGAAACAGCGGGACCCGGTGGGTACAGCTAGTCGGGTTCGCAAAGCGACGCCCGGA